ATGTTTAATAATTGTCAGATATTGCAGAGTAAATTGTTTTAGATGAGGATGCATTAACAACATTCTGTATTAACAGTTAATAAGTTGATTTTAAACTAATATGCCTCCACAGACTTTATGTTAAAATTTTACGTTGTGTTCAAAGTTCTTTCTGTTTCCAAAAGTGCCAGGCTTGAAAACAAATTCTCTTGTTTTTATTTGTGTTTTGATCTCATTTGCCATTAAGTTTCTGTTAACAGTAATGCAATCCCGCCACCTTTAATACTCCATCTTGTACGCTTTCTGCCCTTGACATGGGTTTAAGTGAAGATTTTTCCCTTTTTAAAAAAAATATCTTAGCTTTGTGTTGGTAATTAAAAAGTACAATAGTTTTGCGGTGGCCCTCTCTGTTGGCAAGCAGAGAAAATGCCATTGTTTTGTTCGTTTCTTTAACTGTCTCTTTTTTCTTACCACCCCTCGTCTCATCAGCCATTGTCATGCATGAAGCTAGCTCAACCACTTTGTAAATGAATCATCCGCACACTGTTAATGGAACCTTCCATCCATCCATTATCTTTACCCGCTTCTTCCATTTTGGGTCACGGGGGTCGCCGGTGCCCATGTCCAGCAATCACTGTGCGAGGGGCGGGGGACACCTGGACGGCTCTCCAGTCCATCACAGGGACACATAGAGACAAACGAGACAAACAACCATTCACTCTCTCTCTCACACCTAGGGACAATTTAGAGTTACAATCAGCCTAACATGCATGTTTTTGGTCTGTGGGAGGAAACTGGAGCACCCGGAGAAAATCCACGCATGCACGGAGAGAACATGCAAACTCCACCCAGAAAGGGCCCCGGACCGGGATTTGAACCTGGGACCTGCTCGCTGAGAGGCAGCAGCTCTACCAGTTGCACCACCGTGCTGCCCTTAATGGAACCTACCAGTTTTTTTTGTTTGTTTGAATGACCAGGGATGGGACCGTAAAGCCTGCTGTGAAGCAAAACAAAAAGATAAATAAGCAGTGGGGGGAGGGGGGCTGATATTTATAGAAGTGATTATATAATTTCCCTCCCTCATATGGATGCATGCCTTGCACACATGGCAAATTAGAGGTCGTGGCTTCCAGTTCTGTGCATGTCACTGAGTGTGTGCCAGTGAGTTTTGGTACTAAAACACTGAAATGATACTGTGACCTTCAAGACAAGGTGTTATAAATAGGATGTGTCCAACTGTTTTGGCCAGCCTCTGGCTTCCTCTAAACCTTCTCTTTTCACCCGCTGAAAAGCTTAGCTCCTTTTTAATTTGGCCTTACTGCGGGCTAACCGAGTGACGCCTCTCTGTGAGTGCCTCTGTATTTCAACATTACCACAAAATCCCCGATCCTCGGGCACGCACACACACTCACAAAGCTCAAGAGCCTCTGAGCAGTTACTTTTTTGGAGCCCAGACTCCACCATCAGCAAAAGAAAAATGCTGGTTCAGGCCAGAACTCAGCAGCCAAGTTTCATCTGTCAGAAAGCCAGATGCTCGACTCCCCAGCCACCGAGTGGGCGGGGCCTGACCGAGACAGCAAGAGGAGGAAGAATGAAAGAAGAAGTGGAGAGTTGGGCGGGGGGTGGGGGGGGTGTTTTTCAGAGCAAGAGGAAGCTCCCAGATAAACAGACCGCAGCGCCTCAATTCCTAATCACCCCGCGCTTCCGTTTCCAGACTCCAGACTATAATTAGAAGGGCCCTGTCCCTTTTTTCTGACTATCCCTCATTGACGCAAATGCTTCTTGTGGCTTGGCACCTCGTTTGGGGTGTGGGTTTCAAGAGTTTACAGCCCTTAGCTTTCTGTCTGTATGGTTGTTGTGATACAACATGAAAAGCTAATCACCTCTGAAGATTTGCAGCCATCACTAATCCACCTCAAACCTCCCTCATTTCATCTGTTTGTCATCTTTGAAGAGAGCTGCTTTCTTATAAAAACATTTCAACATTGGAGAAATGAACAAAATATAGCAACATAACCGGCTGCATTTTTAAGGTGCATTTTCCATTTCTTTATTACACCTTGCTGAATCCTTTTCATCTTGTGCCATTAAATAAAGCCTGGCCACCATTTAAAACCTCCTGCAGTACATAAAGTTTTACAGGTGAAAAAACATGTAGAGCCCGACTGATATGGAAATTTTGGCTATTGCTGATATCGATATTGGGCAGGAAAGCTGAGTGCCAATAACCGGCATAATGGCTGGACATTTCTGATCTTTGTCCACCCCCAAGAATCTAAGAAAACAGCGAGTGGAGTGGGGCTTGTTTATTTAGCGTGGCTGTTAGCAACCATGAAGCTAATCACATCCACCTACTGTATACGTAGTCCCACAGTGGGTTTACAAGTGCAGCACTGCTCATAGAAACAGTCTTCATAACGTGCGTTCACATTTTCTATCCTCCACTATTCACCATGAAGTTATCAAGTGTGTTATAAAAGTATAAATTAAACAAAGAAACACCTTCCTGTTCATTGTTCAGTCAGTCACATACGATGAAGGTCTGATTAGTGTTGACCCCAGCAGAGTTTATTTTTCTTTGTAAAGTAAAGATTTCAGACAAACAATGTATTTCATTGAGGACAACAAAGATAACGTTACTAACAATGATATATTTTACTTCTACGCTGGATAAAGTTTTACAAGACAATACAGTGTTTCCCCTAGTTAGCCTGCCATGGTGGGGTGCTCATCTCATCCATGATTTTTGCTGATGGGGGGGGGGACATGTCTGAGCGCAGCTTGTACTAATAGTTTTTGAGCTGGGGCATTCCACATGATGGAAGAGGCAATGTGAGTGCTGCCTTGGGCTTTTTAGCTAGAGAGCCTGTATTTTGCGCTGCTAGCTTAGTGTTGTCAGTGCTGGGTGGGGGTGGGAGGGGCAAGTTCAGTTTGGCAGGCGGGGTGCTCAGTTTTGTTGGTAGGGTAGGGCACCCTGCCTGTATAATGGTAGGGGAAACATTGCAATAGTCTATGCTAGCTATCTAAACTTTAGCATTCTAACTTGAAAGGCATGTAGTCAATGACAAGCAGGTTGAAGGATTGAAGATAATTTATTATTGTTGATTTATTTAATTTTATTTCACAGAGCAGTTAAAATAAAGTTACCACGCTCTGTTCAGTAAAATATGCTAGACAGTATTGCTTCCTGCTTAGGCTGCGATGAAAATTAAAGTGAGACTTAAGTGAACGGCCATGACTTGAAAGTAGTCTTCATGCAAACAAAGTCCATGCTCAATAATCCAGGTATACAATCCAACATTTTACAGTCAGGTCATCTGGACACTTTCTTTTTTTTTTCTGAAACGCTTCACCTTCCATCCAGAAGGCTTCATCAGTCAAGGAAACACACAACACAAAACTGATACTTTTCCCAAACAGCTTACTCCAAAGTGGAACAAACCAGTTATGTTGGTACTAAGATGGTCTCTTTGGCACGCCCCCTCCTCCGGTGCCGGCCTTCTTCCTCGTCGACAGTCATGTCAAACTGGTTCAAAACCAACAAAGTCCATGCTCAAGAGTCTTCATGCCCCCTCTGCTGGATATAATGTACACTTACGGCTGGTTCCAGCATATTGGGGTGAAAATTGGAAGTGTTTATATCAGTGCATAATGTTACAATTATCACCGATACGACAGGTCCCCAAACATCTATATCGACCTAAACTATACCGAGTCCAACCGAGATATCGGTTGGACTCTACTGAGTATGACAGATTACTAAATGACCATTTGTGAGGACAGCGGTTTGACCAGATTTGGGACTTTCATCATGAATGATCTTGTTTAAACATTGAATCTGTAACATTTCAGAAAGTTTCTGGAGTTAGGTTTTGGGTTGTGTTTGAAAAGCAGAGCTGCCCTTTTCCTAGCCGAGGCAGTTTAGATCTGGTTTGTTCTGGTGTGGTTTGTTGAGCATGTTGTTTATGGTGAGAGCATATACTTTTCTGAGTTTGATGAGCATCAAATAAAATGGGACCAAATGAGTAGGCCCGTCAGTGTTGGTTTTACATGCTGGGCTGTGGTTCAACATTTCTGTTACTCAGTATGCATCCACACAACCGTAGCCCTGCACTGATGAGTGGATTTAGGGATTCTCTCCTTTGTAGACACTCATCAACTTGTCTCTCTTAAAAGAGTCCAAAATCAAACCAAGTTATTGCGTGAAAACATTGTGGGGATTTTGACAGCAGCAAGAGAGAACAGGTTTAAATAAACTGTTCTGACTTTATTAGAGGGACAGAAGTTCTGCCCTGCTGTCTACAGTGTGACCTGTACCGTTGAATAATACGATTTGCACTATTCTGTGTATTTTATGTCTTTATTGTTAGACTTACATATGTATATATATATATATATATATATATATATATATATATATATTTGTGTGTGTGTGTGTACAGTATATATATATATATATATATATATATATATATATATGTGTGTACAGTATATACACTGTATATATAAGTACAGTACATACACTGTATATATAAGTATAGTTTATACACTGTATATGTCAGTATATAAGTACAGTATATACACT